GGTATTACTTTACCCCTGAAAATATTCAATACAATGAAATTACTACGTACCAAGGAGTGGAGTGCATTTCAAAGATAAGGTGCAGTTAAGTATGTCCAATAATAGTGAGTCAGAGCAGTTGGCCTTTGAGACAGTATGTGCAAATACAAATCATATATTGCTTTAATTTGTGCAGAAAAGTGGAACACGGTGTTGAGTGCTTAGCACAACAAGACGTTCTGGGTGAGAATCGAGACTGAAGACAGCTGGGATAGGCTCCAGCACGCCCACGACTGGAGTGAGAATCAGCGGTTTGAAAAATGGATGGATGACAGTCCAATGCAAGATTCCAATAAAATGCAACATGTTTTTACCATATCGAATAAATGGGAATAGATTCAGCAAATTTAATGCAAACATATGTATGAACTTTAGGCATTGTTTTTTTAAAGGTATAGTGAACTGGAAACCTGATGCACTCACTCAAAAAAAGGTGAAATAGCAAATTAACACATTGCGGTTATGCTTTTCAATGCATGTAATCCAAGACAACCGATTAAAGTAACCCAATCAATACGCAGCATATGTGACATTTTTTGGCAGAACATCAATTTTTCTATTTTATATTGTATTTTATTTTCATCACATACTCTTACTGACAGTAACGACTGAACAGTGACAAATGCAGGTTGGAACACATTGGATGGTACAAATGGAGAACTGACTCTCTCCTCAAATTATAAAGGAAAACCAGAGTTGGAATTGGCAATACATTCAAATAATATATATTTTATAAAAAGCGTTACTGTTGAATTAATGATTAACTCATGTTTTAGTTTTTAGGGAATCAAAATGGGTTCCAAATAGAACAACACAGCTCAAACAGTGGTGACCTCCACCGAAGAAAAATGTTTAGCAACTGCAAAATTAAATGAGTCGACACATTTAAACTTTTCCTCGTTGCATCCACTATTCGGGAATTTATTTTACATTAAACTTGCTGTTTGAATATATAGCATAAATAAACAAAGGCTGCTCCCTACTGGCAGCAAAACCAAAATACTACTGTTCGGGGTTCTCCATGACTTCTAGGCCTGTCATTGTCATGGCAGAATAGATCACAATGATGCATTTATTTGCAGAAAACTACAAATATCACCACATATGCGCATTGAAAATACCGAACAAAAGATATATGGACTGTGCAAAATTCTGCTCCAGGTGAGGCTCGAACTCACAACCTCGGCATTGCTCTACAGTGTACTGTCATATAAGTACCGCGCGCTAACCGATTGCGCCACTGGAGCTTGGCTAAATCTGCTAGCAGAAAGTTTTATAACCTATAGCCAACCACAGCGTTTCAGGTGGTTTTGATATCATGGTGTTTAGTCTTACCACGGTTGGAAGACGATAGGATGGACAACATGCCTACTTGTAGTGTTTCAAAATACAAGTCTCGACACTTTACTCGTTCGTCGACGTCTCGCCTCCAACCGGAAGTACAGCTTTGTTGTGACGTAGCGCTGACATAATTTTTCGTTGCGATCTCAATAGAAGGCTGATTCCGATAAATTGTCTGCTGTTCTGGTTCATCACAACACATTTTCCCCTCCAGCAAACCGTCGTCATAATTTCCTTAATTTATATAACTAAAGTAATATTTTACCATTCATCATACAAACCGCAAATGTCGAAAAAATGGGAATTAACCCGTTTCCATTCGTTATTATTTTGCGAATGCGAGGCGAGGAAACTGCTCCAATAGATGACGTCAAACGAGAGCGTGTCTGTCAGCCTCATTCATTAGTTTTGTGTTCGTTTGCTGTTGTTTTTTGCGTCCAATTAACAATTGAACATAATTTTTTTTTTGGAGGGGGGGTGATTGATATTGGTGTCAACAGTTTCTGACAGCGATACAAACTGGCCCCAATTACGAGTCAGGACAGCCGCCACGCCACCACCCGGTGCCGTAACAACTTCACAAAAAGCGAACCAAGGCATTGATGTACGCTTAAGTTTATTTTGAAGTTTGCCTTCTCCCCACGTAAGCGTCATGCTCGTCCTCCCTACGACTCATAACCACGGACGTCTTTTAGATCTGATTGATGACTCATTCCTCTGCTCTGACAATAGTTACCTCCTATTTCTGGACTTCTATAAGGCATTTGACACGGTCGAACATGAGTTCATTTTTCGCTGCATGGAACAATTCGGATTTGGTGATTTCTTTTGTAAAGTTGTTAAGACTATGTATGCCAATGGCAATAGCTCCATCAAACTGAGAAATGGCACCTCTCCAAGATTTTCTCTAAATCGAGGAGTGCGCCAAGGCTGTCTGGCCTCTCCATTTCTGTTTCTATTGTTAACGCAACTCCTCACCTGTCATATCAGAAGAAGTGCCATCCAAGGGATATCTATAGCAGGCAGAGAAATCCTGATTAGTCAGCTTGCGGATGACACTACCTTATTCCTAAAGAACTCCAGCCAAGTCTCTGCTGCGATTAAAATGGTCGAACAATTCTCAGCGGCCTCTGGTCTCCACCTAAATCTCAACAAATGCGAACTGTTCCCTATCCATGACCGGAATGAGACTTCGATCTGCAACATCCCAGTTAAAGAAAAAGTTACCTATCTAGGGATTACCATTATGAAAAATGAGGCCATGCGATGTACAGCGAACTTTGACCCAATTATTAACAAAACCCAAGCTAAGCTTAACCAG